AGTAATTAAGCTGGACCAGGGACACTGGCTTTTCTCCTCCCGTTGTTCCCCCAAGATTGTGAATTCTTCAGTTCATGGACCAATTTGGCTAATTATGAGCTCTGTGCATTGAGCTCTCAAAGCCACACAACTGTAAATAATCAGCCTGTGTCTCCAGCCCTTCAGGTGGCCAGCTCATGTCTAGCGGGCTTCACACCTATGTCTCCCCCTCCTAGAGTACTAATCTCCATCAGGAGGCCCCAGCCTGAGTCTGTCTTTTGGCCAGTCCTGAGGACAGACCCTCAGCCATTATTGCTCACCAGGCAGGAGAGGGGCAGCAGATTGGCCCTCCTTGGTCATGCACCACCAGAGTCGCAGCACAGCCCAGTGAGTACCATGGAAGACAGTGGATGGAGGAAGGACTGTGGGAGAATTGTTTCCTCATTGTCGGGACAAGCAGGATGGTTGGGATAGACAGCAGATGGGGCACCAAAATGCAAAGTTTCAGCTTCGAGCACTATGAAGTTTATGTTCTTGGTTCTGGTGGGGGATCCAAGAACTCTCATTCAGAATTCTGCTCTTCTCCCACCCTGGTTCTAGCTCCCGTAGGCATTATCCCGACGTTAGCAAGAAACAGTCCCTTACGTACTCCAAAATCATGAAGTGAGGGTAAAGACAGTAAGCATGATATCATGAACCTTCCTTGAGGACTTCCTAAGTGCCAGGCTCTCAGCTAAGTGCTCTAAGTAGCTTGTTTCATTTCATCTGCATAATCATCCCCCAAGAAAGAGGAATGCATATTATCATTTTACAGACAAATAAGGGAGCATAGCATTTAAATATACCTTGCATTCGATTATGGGGTAAAATAGAAGTGAATTCCAGTTTGCATCCTGGCATCCAGACTCCAGACACAGGACACTTAGCTGGTATTCTGTCCTGCCCAACCAACCTGTCATTTCACTTTCCAGGTCACTCCAGGCAGAGACCTCATGTTCACTGTGTTTTCCTTTGGGGGTTCCCGGTAGACTTCAGCAGAGAGTAATGGGTGCCTCTAGCTGCATTGACTATAGGAAGTCATAGCTGAGATCAAGGCAGAGTTCACAGAAGGACCAGCAGGTTCTAATAGGACAGATGTCTCTCTTGTCCCTGTCCACATCCTCCTTCACTCTTGCACTTGAGCGCTTCTCAATCTCTAAAGGGAACGTAAAGTCAGGGTGTTGGTTTCCATTCTTAGTTAGGAAACTGAAATTAGTTAAAAGATTATCTTAGCTGTACTTTTGGTTAAGACCGCTGGAGTTCTATGGTAAACTTTCTGAAGTGTAGGGAAACAGAGTGAAGTTTATTGGATGGGCATGAGAGACTGACAATTTAATTTTGTCTGCTCTATTATCTTGCACTAAGTGGAGCAGGTTGTTAGTACCTCTGAACCTCAGCACTGCCATCTGGGTTAATCTGTAGTTGATACAACTGCATGGTTGCAAGGATTAAACAGTATGGAATGTGATTACATATGTAAGGAATGTATATAGAAAAGGCAAATTAAATTTCAGGTATTATTATTATTAAGATTAACAGCCTAGCTTCCTACTACTTGACTAAAGTATGCTGTGATCTGAAGGTATGGTTTCCCTGGATCCCTGATAGGACATTTTATTTTGTCCTTGTACAAGTGGATACTGAGTGTTTGGAGAGAAACAATTGAGTCTCATTTATTTCTGATTCCTCAGAGCCTATACTGTCTTTGGCACAGAATAAGCAACAAAAACAAAAAATCTCTATTAAATATTAAATAGCCCTTAGTTCACGTGAACTCGGAGCAGGCAGTAAGGCTTCCACGCACTGGGTGCTCTCCTGTCTGTTCTTTCATCTCTTCCAGCAATATCCCATAGGACTAGAGATGAGTACAATAGAGCTGTGTATTTCTATGTCATGGACTTCCTATAAACCCATTATTTCCCTTTTATAAGATGTACATCATTCAGTTATCAAAAAATTGTGGCAATATTAAGTAATGAAAATTTTAAAGAAGGAAGAAAGAGAAGGGGAGGATAAATCTTACTTCATGGACTGAGACATTTTTAGGATTTTGCGTTTAGGATGTCAAATTATTCCATGCTCAACTTCCCTGGGACAAGAAAGGCTTTGACCTTTCTGCCATGGAATTAAATAAAAGCCATTGAATATTTCTTGAGATTAAATTTATTAATAACCTGCTACTGCAACAATAATTTAATTCTGATTAAAATACCATAACTGAATATTAAATTTCTGAGGATATTATTCTCCCCATTTCTAGGTAAGGAATGTCATCAGAAAGAGGTTGAGATACTGATACACACTCCAAATTTAGTGTATGAAAGATGTGGGACTCAGGCTTTCATCTTCTGACTCCTGCCCTAGGGCTCTGTCACTTCCACTGGAGCTGAATGAACTTGTTTTCAAGCCTGCTTTGTCCTGGATGAGCGTACAGGACCATTGATTTCTCCTCTTGAGACTCAGTGAGTTCATCTGTGAAATAGGAGAATGGGCCAAGTGGTTCATAGGAGTCTTTCTGGCGTGAATATTGTGGTTCTTAATGTTTTCTACAAATAGTAATGGTTTTTCCATCTCATTTCAGAAATCTGAAATATGCAAATATTATTTCCTCTACAAGTTGAGAATTTCATGTGAGCTATCATCGAATCACTACACTGACCTCAGGAATATTCCTAATGCTATCTCTCAGCAGTAAGAGCAGACAGCTGATTGTATCTGATTTTTTTTTAATCAGGAAAAAACATAGGCAACTAATAGTAAAATTCAATGTGTACTGATTTTTGCCATGAAAACAACTGTACTTCATATACATATCTTATAGATATTCTCACTTGCGTGATATGGAGAGGTAAAAGAATTTGCACAGGATTGTCATAATAAGGAACTGACGAATAAAATGAAGTCTCTCCCTCTGGCAATACTATGAATCAGCTAAAATGTTTGAACTAGATGCATGTCCTTCACAGAAAGACTTAAAATATAAAGTTTTAATGTGAATATTTCAGGGACAATATGTATAGTATGATACTTTTCACCTAAGTTTTCAGGAAGGCTGTTTATGGATATAAAACCAATGCTAACATCCTGGAAACATTGGCAGGAAAACATACCTGCCAAATTCATGACTGGGGTTGACTTTGTGGGACAGGTATGCAGGAGAACAGGATCATGAAGGGATAGCAAGAAAACTGAAATTTTATTGGTAATATTTCAAATCTCTATAAAATATAAGTTCTGCAGCGAATACTACCTAATGTTCACATTTTTAATATGGTGAGTGGGTATTAATGATAATAATAATAGATAACATTAATGGAGCATTTACCGAGTGTCTGGTAACATTCACAGGCAATGGTTCTCAACTCTGGCTGTACATTAGAATCACCAACAGACTCACATGCAGAGATTCTGATTTAACTGGTTCTAGGCTGTAGCCAGGCCATCAGTATATTTTAAAAGATCCAGAGGTAACTATAACAGTTAATCAGGAGTGAAAACCACTGGTCTGAGCATTTTATATTTACTATTTAATTTAATTTCTTACAACAACCCTATAATAGAGGTTCTATTTTTACCCACACTTTATAGATGAAAAAACAATTCAGCTTTTGTTATATTATTCTCTGTAGTTTCCTCTTTTGCATTTTTCTCAAATTAAATCTATTACCTACCAGGGGAAAGGATGACCCAAGTTGCCTTCAGGGAGCTTATTTAAGGAGAATTGGAATCCTTCTTATCCAGACGGACTGATATGAAAAGTTCTTAATGAGGCTTAAGAAGACTGGTTTTCACACACAGCTTTGGGACTTCCCCTGGTTGTAAAACCTTAACTGTAAATAAGAGAGTTGATTTGATGAGGAAACAATGTTTCACAAATTTTGGAGTTAGAAGCATGTTTAAACACTTTTATCAAGCCACTACATGATAGAGACAAGGAAAGCAAACAGCAGTCTCAAACACTAACCTGTCCCTGAGGTTGTGTAGCATTGATATAAATAACTTCGCATAAAAAGCCTAGTGTTAGGATTAATATTTGAAAAGACTTTAAAAAGACAACCCACGTATTTGAGGGAGCACTTATTTCCATTGAGTGTGGATATCAGAAAACCAAATAATTATGATAATCCATGAAGATAACTCGTATCAAAATTATAACTGATTAAATACATTTGACTTTAATTTAGAAAATAGGTAATGTTACAGAGTGTTTTTCTTTTTCTTTGTTTTGTGAGGAAGATCAGCCCTGAGCTAACATCCATGCCAATCTTCCTCTTTTTTTTTGCTGAGGAAGACTGGCCCTGAGCTAACATCTATTGCCAATCTTCCTACTTTTTTTCCCCAAAGCCCCAGTAGATAGTTGTATGTCATAGTTGCACATCCTTCTAGTTTCTGTATGTGGGACGCCGCCTCAGCATGGCCAGACAAGCAGTGCGTTGGTGAGAACCCGGGATCCGAACCCGGGCCGCCAGCAGTGGATTGCGCGCACTTAGCCCGCTAAGCCATGGGGCCGGCCCCTCAGATGTTTATAAATATTCCAAGTTAAGGGAATTTCTTGCTCTGCGTTTGGATAAATTAAACTATATTTGACTGCTTCCTGGTGCCTTTTATTTGGAGTGATTTTTTTTTCCTAAGGGAGAAACATATTTCTTATTCTATATATTTCCTTCAATGGAGAAGGCTGATATATTACAGTGTTCATCAATTTATTAACTCTAAATTGGCTTGCTCCTTGATCACACTTTGGCTCAGTGTCTCTAAAGTGGGTATATATAGAAAAAGGTAAATAACCAAGAAATCAATGAGGAAAGAGTTCTAAGAGGAAATGAGTTTGCCACCACTGAGAAATATAGCTGAAGGTACTGGAGTATGTGGTCCTCAAGTGTGAATGCTTTACTTTGATTTGCTTGATTCTGAAATACAGATACAACACTGACTGACTGGCTTATTTCATTTATTCTGAGTCTCTTTTCATTTCTAGGAGGTGTCTCAGTCACATGGGAACAAAGAATGTAACACGTGTCTCAGAATTCCTCCTCATGGGTCTCTCAGATGACCCAGAACTGCAGCCTCTCCTCTTCAGCCTCTTCCTGTCCATGTACCTGGTCACTATGCTTGGGAATCTACTCATCATCATGAGCATCAGTTCTGACTTCCACCTCCACACCCCTATGTACTTCTTCCTCTCCTACCTGTCCTTGGCTGACATCGGTTTCACCTCCACCACAATCCCCAAGATGATTGTAGACATCCAAACTCGCAGCAGAGTCGTCTCCTATGTGGGCTGCCTGACTCAGATGTCTTTTTTCACTCTTTTTGGATGTTTGGACAGTCTCCTCCTGACTGCAATGGCATATGATCGGTTTGTGGCCATCTGTCACCCCTTGCACTACCCAGTCATCGTGAACTCCCGCCTCTGTGGCCTGTTGGTTTTGATATCTTTTTCCATTAGTCTTTTGTACTCCCCTCTGCACAGTTTGATTGTGTCACAACTTACCTTCTTCATGGATGTGGAAATCCCTCATTTCTTTTGTGACCCTTCTCAGCTATTCAACCTTGCCTGTTTTGAAATCCCCATCAATAACATATTAATGTATTTTATTGCTGCTATCCCTGGTGGTGTTCCACTCACAGGGATCCTTTTCTCTTATACTCGAATTGTTTCCTCCATTGTGAGAGTCCCATCAACAGGTGGGAAGTACAAAGCCTTTGCTACCTGTGGCTCTCATCTGTCAGTTGTTTGCTTATTTTATGGAACAGGACTTGGTGTATATCTCAGTTCTGCTGTCTCACATTCCCCCAGGAAGGATGCAGTGGCCTCAGTGATGTACAGCGTGGTCACCCCCATGCTGAACCCCTTCATCTATAGCCTGAGGAACAGGGACATCAAGAGGGCCATGCAGAAACTCCTTAGAAGAACAGTGTAATCTCAATACCTACACCATCTTTTTCGGTGTGTGAGTTGGAAAAGCCAGTAAATCCAAACAGCTGGAATTCGAGATTCTGCCCACTTGGTTTCATAATTTTTGCAGCTCTTGTGCCTTTCAATCTTCTCAATATTTCATATTTTTGTTAGGTACAAATGGGATTGAAGGAGTGTTGTAGGATCCTGTCCTCATTATAACCACTGCATGATTGAATCACATTACAGCTATACAGCCTTCTTTATTTCTCATCTATAACCCAGGCATCCTGGAGAAATGCACAGCTCTTTTCTTTAATATTTAGTAATCCTCAACCCTTTCCAAAATTCATGTCTGTTGTCCATAGAACTTTTGTGTCTTTCAGATCTGTTATGCATGTTATGTGTAAGGATGCATGTCACTGGTCCTCAACTTTGGCTTCATATTGGAGTCACTGGGGATCTTTAAAATAATGATGACTGCTTCTCCACAGATTATAACTGAATTGGCCTGAAGTGTAGCCTTAGCATGAGGATTTAAAAATCATCCCAGATTGTTCTCATGTATAACCAAGGTTGTGATCTACTGATCAAATCACATGTTTCATTCAAAGGTGACTAGTATGTTTGGATCTTTCACTGCTCCTGAGCAGATGCTGAAGTTCTTAATGTCCTCCTAGCGATGAGATGGATGATATGAAAAAGTTCATCCTCTCAACAGGCGCTGTGATATTTCCCAACATTCCTGATATTTCTTTCTTTCTTTCTGTTTTTTTTTTTTTTTGAGGAAGATCAGCCCTGAGCTAACATCCGTGCTAATCCTCCTCTTTTTGCTGAAGAAGACCGGCTCTGAGCTAACATCTATTGCCAATCCTCCTCCTTTTTTTTTCCCCAAAGCCCCAGTGGATAGTTGTATGATATAGTTGCACATATTTCTAGTTGCTTTATGTGGGATGCGGCCTCAGCATGGCCGGAGAAGCAGTGGTCCGTGTGCGCCCAGGATCGGAACCCAGGCCGCCAGTAGTGGAGCACGTGCACTTAACCGCTAAGCCACGGGGCCGGCCCCCCTGATATTTCTTTACAGACGTTGTCCTTCCATACCTTACAACTAGTCGTCTGTGCTGGTTAATAATGTATTGTTACCTTGTTCCAAACTCACCCTTCTATAATTTACTTCAACAAAAGGTGGCTCTTTCCATTCGGTAGTAACAGTATCTTTAGGACTTCACTTTGAAACTATTCTTCCCTGTCTCTTTTCCTGACAAATCTGTCTTTCGGCTCTCATCTGTGTCCACTATATGAGTGTCCATCTTCACTTTAGGGATGTCACATAGTTTCTGAGACAGTGATCTGGGGCTCTCTGAACACCTGCCTGCTAACTAGTTTAATGACTTGGCCTTTTGCCACTAAGCTCAATCATCTACCAACTTCACTGAACAGGAACTTGATACTGGACAAAGGGATCCTCTACAGGGGATGAAGCCCTACCAGCCAGTGAGAAGAGATACTTCCCATTAAAAAATGACTTAATTAGGGTTTTGATTCCTTGGTTTTCATGAACTGATATGAGACAGTTTGGGTCTGATCTACTCTGGAACAATGAATAGGCTTTGTCTCTATTTCTGCAAACCTAAGTAATGGGCAAAAGCCCTTGGAATCTGCCAAGGTAATTGTGTTGGTTAATTTTATACGTCAACGTGGCTGGGCCCTGGCGCCCAGACATTTGATCAAACATTATTCTGAATGTTTCTGTGAAAGTGTTTTTTGGCTGAGATTAACATTGAGATCGTTGGCCTTTGAATAAAGCAAATGACTCTCTCTAACGTGAGTGGGCCTACTCCAATTACTCGAAGGCCTTGATAGAACAAAGACTGACCTCCTGGTAGAAGAAGAAATCCTGCCAGCAGACTGCATTTGGACTTGAACTACAACTCTTCCCTGAATCTTCAGCCTGCTGGCCTCCCCTGCAAAATTTGGAGTTACTAAGCCTCTACAATCACGTGAGCCAATTTCTTAAAATAAATCTCTCTGTATATATGCATTTATCCATATCCTCTTGGTTCATTTTCTCTGGAAATCCCTGACTAATACAGTAATGTTGATTTTTTGTATCTCATTTTATATTCTCCTCAGTGGTAATACTTTCTTCTTCCTCTTTAAACTTCAACATTTAGAATGAGTGCTGCTAATTGATTAGCACTACACAGGGAGGGAAAGCCTGAATGGAAGTTGCCAAAAAGGTCCACAGTAACTATCTAGGAGTGGTGCTACTATCCTTGATATGAGAGAGACATCACAGATAATAGAGAGGGTATGGGAGTTTTTTAAATTTTTTTATTGCAGTAACATTGGTTTGTAACATTGTATAAATTTCAGGCATACATCATTATACTCCTATCTCTTCATTGATTACATCATGTTCACCACCCAAATACTAATTACAATCCATCACTACACACATGTGCCTAACCAGCAGGGTATGGGATTTGACTTTACAACTCCACCTAGATCTCAGCAAAAATTTGAGGCCTGTGGCAATCAGTGCACTTCAGATTCCTCATCAGTGAAAATGAAACCTATGAAATGAGAGAAAACATTTGCAAACCATATGTCTGATAATTTGTTAATCTCCAAAATATATAAGGAGCTCCTACAATTCAGTAATGAAAAAATCTAATAACCTGGGTTATTAAAAAATGGGTAAGGACTCAAATAAACATTTTTCCAAAGAGGACATACAAATGGCTAAGGTTCTCAACATCACTATTCATCAGGGAAATGCAAATCAAAACCACACTGAGATCTCATCACACCTGTTGGGGTGGCTATTATAAAAAAAGAAAAAGACAAGTGTTGGCAAGGATGTGGAGAAACTGGAAACCTTGCACACTGTTGGTGTAAATAGAAAATGTCTTAGCCACTATGGAAAACCGTATGGAGGTTCCTCAGAAAATTGAAATAGAACTGATATATCATCCAACAATCCCACTTCTTGGTATTTGCCCAAAAGAATTGAAATCAAGACCTTAAAGAGATAGGAGCACTCCTATGTTCATTGAAGCACTATTCACAATAGCCAAGGTATGGGAACAACCTAAATGTCCATTGAGAGATGAATGGATAAAAGGACTGTGATTATATATATGTATGAAAAGATTGTATATATAATAGAATACTATTCACCCAGAAAAACAGAAAAAAGTCCCGCCATTTGCAACAACATGGATGAACCTTAAGGATATTATGCTAAGTGAAATAAGCCAATCACAGAAACACAAATATTACATGATTCCACTTACAAGATATATGTGCCAGGGCTGACAGGAGGGAGAAATGGAGAATTACTAATCAAAGGGCATAAAGTTTCAGTTAAGCAAGATGAAGAAGCTCTAGAGCTCTGCTGTACAACATTGTACCTATAGTCCACAATAATATGTGACCAATTCAAAATTTGTTGAGAGAGTAGATCTCCTGTTAAGTGATCTTTCCACAATATATATTTAAAAAGTTGTCCTTAGAGACACAAATATTAACTGAGCAAATGGAAATATTGTCAGATTGTTGATATAGAAGACCTAATTCTGCCTCAATTATTTGGTCATTTGAATGCATTTGATGATGATAAGGTCATATGTTGAGGTATGTTAATTTAAAACATGTCTGAATTGTTTTTTGTGTGTGAGGAAGATCAGCCCTGAGCTAACATCCAATGCCAAGCCTCCTCTTTTTTTTTTTTTTCTGCTGAGGAAGATTGGCCCTGGGCTAACATCCATGCCCATCTTCCTCTAAGTCTGAATTGTTTATTAAGATGTATTAAACTTGAAATTCAGAGGGAAGAGTACAGATGAAATTCCTCCTAAGACATGGAAAGCCTCAGATTCTATAAGGGACATTTACTCTTCCTATGATCCTGTTCCGTTAATCTTAACAAGTCCTCAGAGATTGGGATAACATGGACCATTTGGCTAATTACGAGCTCTGTGCATTGAGCTCTCAAGCCCACACAGCTGTAAATAATCAGCCTGTGCCCTGCAACCTTTCAGTTTTCTGGTCCTAGTACAGGTGGATCTGTATACGTGTCTTCCTTTCCAAGAGTTATTCATTAAGGGGTCCATGCTTGCCTCTGTCTTCCTGCCAGTCCCGAGAACGGAGCCTGAGCCTTCATCACTCACCAGGCATGGGAAGAGTGCTGGATCATCATTCCTTTGCCACGCCCCAGCATAGAGGCAGCACAGTCCAGTGAGTGCCCTTGGAAGGGTGGAACAGGGGGAACTGGGGAAGCACTATTTCTTTATCAGCAGGATAGGTAGGGCTGTCGTCATAGCCAGATGGGAGGGCACCAATATGCAGTTTCAGCACAGAGGCCTATGAAGTTAATGTTCTTGGTTCTGGTGGGGATCCGGGAACTCGCATTCAGAGTTCTGCTTCCCACCCACATTGGTTCTAGCTCCCTTAGGCATCTCTCTCACTGAAGCAGGAAATGAACCCCTCTAAACTGTGTCCTAAGCACCCCTAAATGATCATGAAGGTGATGTTGAAGAAGAATGGGAGATGATACCAGGTGACCCTATATATGATATCATGAACCTTTATTAAAGATTCTCAGATGCTAGGCTCTGAATTAAGCACTCCATGTAGCTTGTTTCATTAGCTTAGTCACCCCTGAGATATATGTGCACATGTTATTGTTCTTTTACAGATGAGGAAAGGATTATAGACTTTTAATGTAACTTGATCTGGGATAGAATGGGATAAAGGGTTCAATCATACAGTCTTAACTCCAGACATAGGGCCCCTGGCCAGAATTCTTCCCCTGCCAACCCAAACAGCCATGTCCCTTCTCTGGTCATTCCACACAGACACCCTCTGTTCCCTGTGCTCTTCTCCTTGGAGGTTACTGGTAGACCACAGTGGAGAGCAGTGAGTAGCACTCGCTGCATCAACTGTAGGAAGGATGCTGAGACCACAGGCAGGGATTACAGAAAGAGCTGGCTCATGACAATTTAGGACAGACCTCTCTACTCCTGGATTTTGCCTCAGCTGTCCACTTCCTCTTCCATTCTTGTAATTTAGCACTTCTCCATTTCAAAGGGAGATGTAACATCAAGTGTCTCAGGTCTACTCATACTCAGGAAACAAGAAACTATTAAAAGATGTACAATATATGTGGCGTTGGTTAAGACCTGTGAATCACTGCTTTAAACATTCTGAATTTTAACAGTGAAGACATTAACTGCATGTGCCTCAGAGATCCATAATATAATTTTAAGTTCTATCTGCTCTACTTTTTATCTAGTAACATGGAGCAAGTTCTTAGCATCACCAAGCCTCAACATTGTCATCTGAGTTGATTCCTAGTTGATAGCACTCCATTGAGTAAGAACTAAATAGACAATGAATACTACCTATGCAATTAAATATGTGATGGATACACACAAGGGCAAAAATTTAGATATTATTATTATTAATATTGATAACACCGAGCTTCATTCATACCATTCAACCAAAATATTCAGTAATCTGATGGATTGGTTTTCAAAGGATACCTGACAGAATATTTTATTTTTGTCCCTATACAAATAGATATTGAGTACTTGCAAAGAAACAACTGAGTCACATTCACCTCTGATTCCCCACATCTTACATCATCTTTGGCACAGAGTAGGCAGCAACAACAACAACAACAAAACCCCAAAATATGTTAGATATTGAATAGACTCTTTTTTGGTTTGAGAAACAGAGCATAGATATTATAGCTTGTGCAACTGAAGCTTTCTTGCCTGTGCCTTCATCCAGTTCATGGATGTCCCAGAGGACAAGAGACAAGATAAAATAGCACTTGTTTGTACGTATGTCATAGACATTCAATAAGATCTATTATTTTCCATAACATTTACAACACTCAATTATTCAAAAACCATCACAGTGTTTTTCATAAATATGAAAAAGAAGAGGCAGAATGATAAAGGGAAGGTAAATTTTATTTTGTGGGCTGAGACACACTTTAGGATTTCTAGTGCCACGAGACAAGAGAGCCTTCAGATTCTCTGCCATATAATCAAATAAAAGGTTATTAAAGCTTTCTTAGGGTTGCATTTCATCAATAAACCCACTGTTCCAATAATGATTCAAATTCCTGTTATAAAACAATAACCAAATATTTACTAACTTCCCCCTTCTTTAGATGCCACATCTCTGGAGATGGCTGTTCTCTTCATTTCCAGATCAGGAACACCAACACAGGGAGGTTGAGGGATTTACACACACTTCTGTGAATTAGGGTAATGAAACAGTGGTTTTAGGGGCGCTTATGGCACTAATATGGTGGATCATAGGATTTTCTATTAATAGTAATGTACTTTACAGCCTAGTTTGAAAATCTGAAATGTGGAAATTTTATTCCCCATATAAGATGTGAATTTTCATGTGGATCTATCATGGAATGACTATTATTAGATACTTGAGAATATTTCTGATTCTATACCTTAATAATAGCATGTAGTTGATAGCAACTGATTTTTCTATTGGGAAAACGAATGTAGGCAATAAATAGTAAAATTCAGCTGGTATTGATTTTTACAACACAAACAACTGTCTTCCATGCACATACCATACATAAATTCTCACTTGTATGACGTGGACAAGGCAAAAGAATTTTCATAGGATTGTTGAATAAGGAATCAGTAAATAAAATGAAGTCCCTTCCTCGGTAATACTGTGTGTCAGTAAAAGTATTATATCTAGTATTAAACACAATGTTGTGGTAAATAAGAACGTTTAGATGTAATATGTGTAGTAATATACTACTCAGATAAATTTTCAAGAAAACCCTTTACAAATACATAAATAAATATTAACATTATGGAAACAATGACAGAAGATATACCCACAAAATTAATGACAATGGTTGTTTTGGGGGACAGGTGTTCAGGGCAATAGATTCATGCAGGAATTTAAAGAAAACACAAATTTTATCTGTAGTATTACAAAACTATAAAATATGAGTTTTGAAGAAGGTATTATTAAATGTTTATGTTTTTAATATAGGTATTGGATATTAACTACAGTAAGACTGGAAAAAGAACAAACAATGCCCAAAATCAGTAGAAGAAGGGAGATAATAAAAATCAGAGCAGAAATAAATGAAATAGAGACTAAAAAAAAACAGGAGAAAAAAATTAATAAAACCAAGAGCTTTTTCTTTGAAAAGATAAACAAAATTGACAAACTTTTAGCTAGACTCACCAAGAACAAAAGAGAGAAGGCTCAAATAAGTAAAATCAGAAATGTAAGAGCAGAAATTACAACAGACACCTAAGAAATACAAAATTATAAGAGAATACTATGAAAAGCTATATGCCAACAAATTAGACAATCTAGAAGAAATGGATAAATTCTTAGACTCATACAACCTTCCAAAAGTGGATCATGAAGAAATAGAGAATTTGAATAGACTAATCACCAGTAAGGAACTCGAAACAGTAATCAAAAACCTCCAGCAAAATAAGTGTCCAGGACCAGACGGCTTCCCTGGTGAATTCTGCCAAACATTCAAAGAAGAATTAATACTTATTCTTCTCAAACTCTACCAAAAAATTGAGGAGAGGGGAAGCTCCCTAACTCATTCTATGAAGCCAACATTACCTGGATACCAAAACCAGACAAGGACAACACAAAAGAATAGAATTGCAGGCCAATATCACTGACGAACATCAATGCAAAAATCCTCAACAAAATACTAACAAATCGCATACAACAATACATTAAAAAGATTATACACCATGATCATGTGGGATTTATTCCAGGGATGCAGGGATGGTTCAACATTCACAAATTGATCAATGTGATACATCACATTAATAAAATGAAGAATAAAAATCACATGATCATCTTCATAGATGCAGAGAAAGCATTTGACAAGATACAGCATCCATTTATGATAAAAACTCTGAATAAAATGTGTATAGAAGGAAAGTACCTCAACATAATAAAGGGCATAGATGACAAACCCACAGCTCATATCGTCCTCAATGGTGAAAAACTGAAAGCTATCCCTCTAAGAATAGGAACCAGACAAGGATGCCCACTCTCACCACTCCTATTTAATATAGTATTGGAAGTCCTAGCCAGAGCAATCAGGCAAGAAAAGGAATAAAAGTGATCCAAACTGGAAAGGAAGAAGTGAAACTGTCACTATTTGCAGATGACATGATTTTGTATATAGAAAACTAAAGAATCCACCAAAAAACTTTTAGAAGTAATAAGCGAATATGGTCAAGTTGCAGGATACAAAATCAACATACAAAAATCAGTTGAATTTTTTGAGTAACCTTTGTACTGTTTTCCATTGTGGATGTACCAATTTGCAATCCCACAAACAGTGCTCAAGGGTTCCCTGGGAAAGACAAGACTGCCGACATATTTGAGTAAGCACGTATTCCCATGGAGGAGAGAAATCAGAAAACAAAAGAATGATGAAAAACCAGGAAGATAACTGACACATAAAAAAGTCTTTCTGATTATGAACATTTGACTTCCACTTAGAATCCAAATAACGTAGTTCTAGAAATTATACAGTTTATCAATACTCCAAATAAAGGGAATTTCTTGCATTGTATCTGAATAAAATAAGACTGCTTGTAAGTGTCATTTAATTAGCATAATTTTTTTTTTTACTTAAAGGAAGAAGGATATTTCTTATTCAATATATTTATTTAAAAGAGTGGGCTGTATTTTACGATGTTCGTGGATTTGTTATCTCTAAATGTCCCTGATCTTCTTATTACATTTTTCAGGTGAGTGTCTCTAGAGTAAGTGTGTATAGAAAGAGATGAATAACACAGAAACCAGTGAGGAAGCAGTTCTAAAAAAATTGGATTTGAGACACTTAGAAATGTTGCTGAAGGTACTGCGGTGTATAACCTCACAAGTGAATTGCTTGAATCCAAAATATGGACATAGTGCTGGGTTTCCATTTACCTGTTTCCTTTTTTCCGACCCTCTTCTCTTTTTCAAAAGGTGTGCAAGCTACACAGAACTAAAAAATCTAACACGTGTCTCAGAATTCTTCCTCCTGGGACTCTCAGATGATCCAGAACTACATCCTGTGCTCTTTGGGCTGTTCCTGTCCATGTACTTGGTCACCATGTTGGGGAACCTGCTCATCATCTTGGTAGTCAGCTCTGACTCCCACCTCCACAGCCCCATGTACTTCTTCCTCTCTAACCTGTCCTTGGCTGACATGGGTTTCACCTCCACCACCATCCCCAAGATGATTGTGGACATCCAAACTCACAGCAGAGTCATCTCCTATGTGGGATGCCTGACTCAGATGTCTTTTTTTATGCTTTTTGGATGTTTGGATAGTCTCCTCCTGACAGTGATGGCCTATGACCGGTTTGAGGCCATCTGTCACCCCCTGCACTACTCCGTCATCATGAACCCACGCTTTTGTAGCTTGTTGGTTTTGATGTCACTTTTCATCAGCCTTTTGGTCTCCCAGATGCACAATGCGATTGTCTTACAACTTAATTACTTCAAAGATGTGGAAATTTCTCATTTCTTTTGTGACCCTTCTCAACTCCTCAATCTTGCCTGTTCTGACACATCCACTAATAATGTAGTCATGTATTTGGTTGGTGCCATCTCTGGTTTTCTCCCTATCACAGGGATCCTTTTCTCTTACTATAAAATTGTTTCCTCCATTCTTAGGGTCCCCTCCTCAGGTGGGAAGTATAAAGCCTTCTCCACCTGTGGCTCTCACCTGTCCATTGTTTGCTTATTTTATGGAACAGGCCTTGGGGTTTACCTCAGTTCTGCTGTCTCACTGTCTCCCAAGAATGATGCGGTGGCCTCGGTGGTGTACACTGTGGTCACCCCTATGCTGAACCCCTTCATCTACAGTCTGAGGAATAGAGACATCAAAAGAGCCATGCAGAGGCTCCTCAGCAAAACAATCTAATATCAGTACCTGTGCCATTCATTTGGAGTGTAGGTTGGAAAATGCAGCAAAACTAAACATCTAGACCTGTAAATCCTACCCCTCTCATCACATCATTTTGTAGCTCTTATGGCTTTCTCTCCTTTTGTAATACCTGAATATTGCTTCTTTTGGTATGTCTTTAGTGGGACTGGGGGCGTAGTATGGGATCCTTTGTATAACATAATCACTGCATGACTAAATTCTATTATATCCATGGAGACGTCTATAGTTTATCATTGATGACCCAGGCATCCCAGAAAGATGAACAACTCTCTTTTTGTGTATTTAAAAGTTACATCTTTCCCACAGCTCTTGTGTATTTTCCATACAAATTTCTCATTTATCAAATCTGTTTATGCAGGTTATGTGTGAGGGTGCATGTCACTGGTTCTCAACCTTGGCTTTTATTGGAATCATCTGGGAAGTTTAAAAATACTGAAAACTGTGTCTCGCCACCAGAGATTCTGATTTAATTGGACTAATGTGTGGCCTGAGCATGAGGATTTTTAAAAGCCCCCAGCTGTTTCTATTGTGAAACCAACAATGAGAAATACTGATCTAAGTGAGATCTTTCATTTAAGATGATCTGTGTGTCTTGGATCCTAACAGCTAATGGGAAAATGCCAATGATCTTAAAGAGATTAGAGCTCCAAAAGGGAAGATACAAAAAGCCCACTGTAGCAATAGGCAATGTGTTTTCCGCATTATTCCTGATCACGTTTCTTCACATATCTTCTCTCTGTACACTATATAGCTGGGCACATGTGCTGGTTATGAAACTATGGTCCCTCTGCTCCAAACTCACACTTCGATATTTTGCTTTGTGGTGCTGAGGTGGGGCTCTTGAAATCACTGCTTTATTTTCCATCTTGTGTTCACTTTAAGTACTTTCAATAGTAGTAAGTAAATGTCACCTTGCCCTAAAAGCTCAACTTTTCCCTTTACACCTCTCAAGCCTCTGGTGTGGTAGCTTCTTCCTTCACTTATGATGGCTATATTATCTCATTGTTCTTTTATGCATTTCAGTCGTTCAATATCCAATTCCCTAATTAAATTCTCTTCATTAAAATGACTAAGTGGTTTCTCTTTTCTTGACTGAACCATCACTGATATTGTAACCTGGGGTATAAAAGTATGTTGTGAGGTGTCTGCAATTGGAAGATTGCAAAATGTGCTAAGGTAAGAAAGGTGGCTGTAAACGCTATCTATATCTTGGTCATGGGTATACATCTGGAAAATAGGTGGTGATATCATATTTCCAGTTGTTGGAATTTATCTTCTTTTCTTTTACTCTAGGATTTGAAAGGACCATGTTGTCAGCAAAGCGGAGCTCTTTCCAGTAACAGCCTGGTTAGGACTTGACTTTATTATCATACTTTCTGTAATGATAACTCAGTTTTTGGGTTTCTTTTGAATTCTACAAGATTGGTATCCATCTCTCCTTGGAGACATCACACATCATTTTTATAGTGGTTATCTTGGCTCTCTGAAAAGCTATCCATAACTAGCTTAATTTGCATTGCCTTTAAGGAAAATCACCTACCAATATATGGATGAGAAAATTTAATATTAGAGAATGGAATGCACTTGCAGGGGATAAATTCAATTCACATCAGTTAGTGGGAAGAGATTTCATGCAATAAAAATTACTAAAATATTATATGTGCATATTCACATATGCAAACCTGAGTGATAGCCAAAGAACCTTGGAAAGTGTCAAAGTAATGTTGCTTTTTTGTGTGTGTGGTTTAATTTCCAGTTTATGTTCTGATAACTTTACTACATCCTGTTTTCATTTTACATCACCTTAAAATTCACAAAGACAAATGAACATAAGAAATTTTAAATCTGAAAATATTGAAATAGAAAGTACACACATGAGTACTAATCCTAGGTTTTCTACAGCATGCGTACAATACCTTTCCATTAGGTTCACAATTGGTAAAATGGGAGTAAATAGACTTGCATCACAAGATTGGGTTGAATTTATATGATAAAAACAATGACAAAATTATTTAATTTTAAATGTTCTCAGATGACTAGAAAAATGGGATGTTAGACTTACATTTCAACTTGTCTTATAAGGCAGCCTTTTCTGACCAAATCTTTTATGTCCTCTTTTCTGGCTAGTATATCACTCCATTAATACTTCTGAAATACTGGTAAACAGGACAACAGACATTATTCTGGAGGTAGACGCACCTTGTTGGCAAACAAAACTAGGGCATTGTTCTTTTTTAGGCTTTCAGGTTTTTTTTTTTTTTTTGCATTATTGAGACATAATTGACATAAACATTTTGTATTTTAAGGTGTACAATATGATGTTTTGATACACATATATATTGCAAAATGTTTACCAAAATAAGGTTAGTTAACACATGCTTTATCTCACATAGTTATCATTTTTTTTATTGCTGTTGTTATGGTGAGAACATTAACTCTTCTCTCATAGCAACTTTCAAGTACACAACACAGTATTGTTAATTATAGTCACCATGATGTACATTAGATCCCTGGAACTTATTCTTATAACAGAAAGTTTATACCCTTTGACCAACATCTCCCCATTTCCACCACCCCTCAGCCCCTGGAAACTGCCAATCTACTCTGCGTCTATGAGTTCAATATTCTTAGATTCCATATATGAGCAAGATTGTACAGTATTTGTCATTCTCCGTCTGACTTATTTCACTTAGCATAATGATTTCAAGGTCCATCCATGTTGTAGCAAATAGCAGGATTTCTTCCTTTTTCATGGCTGAATAATATTGCTGTGTATGTGTGTGTGTGTGTGTGTGTGTGTGTGTGTGTGTGTGTAGATGACCTGAGGCTTGGAGCACAAAGTACTTATAGAAGATGAAGCCTGTGTGGTGGGCAGTATCTAAGATGCTTCCAATGATCTCCAACTCTTGGTTTTCATGCCCTTATGTATTTCCCTTTCAGTGAATGTGAGACGGATATAGTGACTCACTTCCGACAATGAGAATGTGGAAAAACTGTTGAGAAGTCACTTCTGGGAATAGAGTGAAAGAAAAAAAATACTGGCTTTCTTCTTGTGGCTTCTCTCTTCTCTTTCAGTTGCTCATGTTGCTGGAACCCAACTGCCGTGTTGTGAGCTGTCCCATCAAGAGAGCCTTGTGTCAAGGAACTGAGGGAATTCTCTGGCCAATAGCCTGCAAATATGTGAATCCTACCATGAATCTTATGAGTGAGACTGGAAGTGGGCCTGTGCCAGTCAAGCCATGAGATGACTGTAGCCCTGGCTGACACCATGATTGCAACTTTCTGAGAGGCCCTCTGAAGTATTTAAGTCAAGTATCAGTGACCAAATAAATATGTAAGAATCAATAGTTTTGTAATATGAAAATGTAGTTCAATTAGCTTTAAAATTTAGAACTTAAGACTCATTCAAATTAGCCAAAAAAAAAAATCCTGTAAATCTCCAACATATAAAATGTCAATGCAACCAAGGTCTAAGGAAATGAAAATTATAATTTAACTTTAGAGACAAATATTAACTGAGAAAATGAAAACAGTATCATGTACTTGATATAGAAGACCTAATTCTGCATAGACTTCATGATTAATACAATGGATTTACAGATATGAAAATCACACACTGAGTTGTTAAATTGAAAAAAAAACTCTGAATTTTATGTTAAGATCCTGCAGCTGGGAAGTAAGAAGCAAGGAGTCCAGGTGAACCTCTTCCTGAGGAAAGGAAGGACCCAGACCCTTCTAAGGACATTCACTTGTCTCCTTTTCCTCTTCAATTAATATTAGCAAGTCCTCAGAGATTGGGATGACGTGGACCAACTGGCTGATTATGAGCTTTGTGCATTGAGCCTCCAAGGTTATACGATTATGAATAATTGGCTAGTGCTTCCCACCCTTTACTTTGCCAGTTCTAGTATCATGCCTCTGTGCCTGTGTCTCCTTCCTTTGCGGGCATCTGCAACAGAAGTTCCTAGCCTGAGTCTGTCTTCCTGCCAGTCCTGAGGAGGGACCCTGAGCCTTCATCACACACCAGGCAGCATAGGGTCAGTGAATCCACACTCCTTGGTCATGCTCCAGCAGAGATGCAGCCCAGCCCAGTAAGTGCTGTGGGAGACCATGATTGGAGGAGAGACTGTCAGGAGCATTATTTCTTCTTCAAGAAGACAAACATGACCATTGCCATAGACAGATGGGAGGGCACCAATGTACAAAATTTCAACTGAGACCTGAAAAATTTATGTTCTTGGTTCTGGTGGGGGTGTGAGAACTCTAATTCAGAGTTATGTCTCTAGCCTCACTTGTTCTGGCTCTGGTTGGCATCTCCCCCAATATAGCAGCAAATGGATCTCTTTAAACTTTCCCCTAAGCACTTCAAAATGATCATGAAGGTGATGATGAGGATGATGAGGAGGGGGATGACATTAACCATAGCATCATGTTTATTGAGGGCTTCCTAATTGCTGGGCTTGGAGGTATGTGTTTTATGTATCTAGTTTGATTTCATCTGCATAATATCTCCAAATTATAAACACACATATATCATTATTTTAAGTAAGAGGAAAGGAGCACAGCATTTTATGTAACTTGTACTAGATCATGAGTTAGGAAGAGTTGAAGGGATCTGGGCAGCCTGACTCCAGACTCAGGCATCTGGCAAGTCTTCTCTCCTGCCAACTCAAACAGTCATTTCACTTCCCTGTCAGTCCTAGCAGTGACTCCCTGCTCACTATGCTCTTCCCTTTACGGGTTTCTATTAGACCACAGTGGAGAGCAGTAGGCAGCACTTGCTGCATCAACTATAGAAAGGATGACTGAGATCACAGGCAGTGATCATAGAGAGTTGGCTCATGATAATTCAGGGCAGATCTCTCCCTCTTGCCCCTGCTCCTGGATTTCACTTCAACTGTCCACTTCCGCCTCAATTCTTTTTTTTGTGTGTGTGAGGAAGTTTAGGCCTGAGCTAACATCCATGCTCATCTTCC